CCATACGCGTGCTCACTATCAAAATATTAACTGAACAGAATGGGCAGGATGACTTCACTGGCATGGAAAAATTGAGAGATAAACTCCTCATGGTGTTACAAAACATTCAAAAAGAAAAGGAAGAAGAGAAGGTCATAGTAGACATATGGTGTCACGTCGGCCACGCCTACATAACTAAGGTCGATGAAGGTGAGTGATTGTTTCTGCCTATTGTAGTCCTAAAAGACAGCGGTTTGTCTCCATTTCGATGGACATACAAGTTGTAGGATTATCTGTAGAGTGAAACGAACACAGCGATAATAGTATCCGTTTGCAATGTTTGCCTTTGCTCTACGAAAACAATTCAATTTTGACTTTTACGCTGGCTATAAACCTCCTTCTCGGTCGTACTCAGTGCGCGTGGTGTTATGGGAGAGCTTTCTACGTATAACTAAAGAGGTAGTCCAGATGAAATATTTCCTTTTTCATTCTGTTTCAGCTGACCTGGAAGAGGAATATTTTACTCTCAAGGAAATCAAAGAAAAAGTTGAGGACCAAAAGCTCGGTTGGAAGTCAAAATTTAAAGGAGGATTAGAAAAAATAGAAGTTGAACACATTGAAGAGAGTCTGGAATCCCGTGCAGCTAAAGAGGAAGTAAGATACGACTTTACCTTCTACACTCCTACTTGTCGATATGTTCGTGTCAAGGTAAGCTCTTTTTATTTCATCTTATTTGTTAACTGAGGAGGAATAATTTTTCAGAATGTGTAAGGGTGAATTGAGCTATTACATAAAAACATTTGTACCCAGCTGTTGAGGCCCAGGGGTCGGACCTGCACCATTTACAAGGTTCTTTTCGTAAATTTGTCCAAACGGAACAAAAGGTAAACAACACAAACAATTCTCCCAGCCTTAAGAACAAAAGAGGTGCAGATTAACAAGAACGAATTAAAATAGGGGTTTTAAATTTAAAGGTGCAGATCAACTGGAGACCCAAGTTAAAACATAGGGGAAAGGAATCCTCCAGGTGTATTGGACAACCCTTGAGAAGCGGGGAAGTGTGAACACAGCCTATATGGACCCAGATCTGCACCCAGAAATTGACTTTCTACAATAACATAAACATTAACTGGGTGAACAAATTGCAAGTTGGGGGACAAAGCAGCTTAGTGTTTGGTCAAGAACAAACATATGGTGCTCCCGCTTTACTCATGTAGGAAAGAAACCTGGATCTGAGGTTATCACCATAGTAACAACGTTATTTTGTGTTTTTGAATAGTTCTCCTCTCTTTTAACAGGTATGGCTTACCGAGAAAGATGGTGGCGAACAAGAAGGGGACGGAGCAACTTCAATGGCGTTCTCTCGCAGTGCACCCTTCAGTGTTATGAGTGTCATGGCTCGCGCCCAAACGTTGCCGGATGAACAGGGTGATTCATCGCACAAGCCATGTTTTTACATGTGTTCTCAAACACAGCAGAGACTGAAGGCAGACATCTTAATGCTTACCAAGGAATGTGATTACCGACTGTTCGTAAAAACATGTAAGAAATTAACAGATTTTGTTGTTTGCTTTGTAATTAGTCTATGTCATTTCGTTTCTGTGTCACGGAATGCGCTATCACCGACGAAACTTAAATGACAAACATAATTCTACTTCCAGTAGCAATACGTGGGTAAATCATGTTCAACAGCTCCTGTAATAAAATTTCCAGGCATAATATCCTGGTTTAACATTGTAACGTTTAAGACTGTGACTGAAAAAGTAAACACTACACTTTCAATCATGGATGCGGGTCTACTGAAGTCGTGATTTCTTGGTAAACGAGGCAGACGACTCATATATGAGGCCAAACATTTAAAGCACGTTTCCACTTTTACTGACTCGTCCCCGGCCGTCTTCTCTATCTCTTTTTAATATTAACGTCTTCTCTTCGTGCCGTGCTGGTCTGAATCGTCCCCATCTCTCTCGCGTTTCTCTCGTAAATAGACAAATAAGATGCAACTG